ACAGAACAATCATGCTCACAGCAATGGGGAAAGTAAAGTCACAAAATCCCTCCAAGTAGTTGGGGGGAAACCAAAGCTGGTATAGCTCTGAAGTGGGCAACTTGAGCCAGGCTCAGATCAGAAGGAGGAGAAAAAGAGAAACCCTTGTCCCACCTCAGCATCCCCAAACCGTCTCTGATTTAGCCCTCCTCCACCACCACGACAACCAGGAGGAGTCAAGCAGGCCCAGATCTGGAGATGTGTGTGCTGGGGGCCTCCTGTCTTCTCTCTGGGCCTCCAGGGATCCTGTGTGCTTGCCTCAACACCTTGGCATCAGATTCTTCTTGTTCAGCATCGATGGATCAGAAAACATTCCAAATTACATAGATCCTACATATTAAAAGAAGGAAAAGTATTTCAAAATATAAGGAAGAGCAGATTATTGTGATATATTATTTAATAGATAGGAATGAATGGATGATGGAGGGTTGTGACATCACCCAACCAGTAGATAATTTGGAAGAAAATATTCTCAGAGCAGCCTTGACTTCAGATAGTCCCCGTTCCTTGAGCAGAGAGGGTTAAAGGGGATTAGAGCAGCTCCTGAACTTCCCAAATATGATTCCTGGATTTGCTCAACTCTAAGATACCATTTGCTCAATTCTAAGAGACCACTGATCATGAGACATCACCACAATATAGGAGTAGAATAAAGAAATATCAAAATTTTAAACATCTGCATAAATAGCAAGGTGCTTCCTGATTTTAGAAATATTAAAATGTGAGGGGAAGAAAAATAATCACAAAAACAGACTAATTAAATGGCTCCTAGACTAGAAAAATGCCTTGAGAAGTCCTGTTAGCTGACCCCATTCTTGCAGGCAGGCCCCTACCCTCCCACCCAAATCAGAGAAAGTCTGGCTAATTTTAAAGATTAAGAGCTCTTCATCTTCAATGGCATTCCCTCAGCGGCAGTGAATATAATTTGCCACTGGTATAAATAAGAAAAAGAAAAAGTGCATACAATTTGCATACTAAAAGTAGAATACTAATGAAGACAAATCACTCTTTTCAGTAGAATGGTCTGCTACTTAGATCCTTTCACTCTGCTTTTAACTTGACTTAGAGAAAAAAAGTTTTTAAAAACTGGGTGGAGGAGAATCTCACAAGGAGAATGCCCTATCCTTGTGCATTTTAGGCATGAATTGAAGTAGATGCATTTTATCTTTTTAAATATATTGTGCAAGCACATACTAAGTTTTTTATGCTTCAAACTAGCTCTTACAAGACATTTTTTTATGTCTGCCCAATTACAGAGAAAAGTCTGATCTGGGATTTAATAAATCACATGCTGAAAACTCTTGTACAAGACAGTGTGGGGTAATGGTGAAGCTATCTTTGGCGTCCACAGAAGTCAGGAATTAGAACTCCCTAACTGAATTGGGTATAGCATCTCTACTCTTGAATTTCAATTTGGTTTATAAAATTGTGCAAATAATTCTCATATATTAAATTCAGGATTAAAAGAGATAATGTGTGTAAAAACACTTTACACAGTATCCTACATCAACTGAGGAGTATGGTTTTAATCTATTCTGTCCTTCCCGCCCCATAAAAAAAACTAGAGTCTCAAGGTGAATGTTAAAGTGAATTAAGCTGGTTTAGATCTCAACAGGAAGAACTGTTTTTATTTAACAAACAAATGGTGCCTACTTTATGCCAGGCACCATATGGGGTATAAGAATGAGTACAGAGAAGACCATGACCCGGTTCTTGTTCATGAGAGATTTACCACCTAGTGGCAGACAGAGGAGCAGCGCAAAGTGTTGCCATCTAGGGTAGACCTAATAAATATATAGCACAAGGGGCAGCTGAGCATGGCAGGTGCCCTCAGAGCAGCGGCTGACCACCCAGAAGCATTGAAGGAGGCCCCATAGAGATGGAGAGCCCAGAGCAAAGTGGGTGGTTGGCAAGGCATGGCTGGAGCCTGCAAGAGTCGGGTGCCATATTCTTTGGAAGGAAGGGAATCTACTGTCACCAAGCCCACCAGCTAAGAGACCCTGGGAGCAGAGCACATGTTCTATCTGCATAGCTGCTGGAGAGTCAGACGTTTCTGGGCCCTGTGAAGTTTGTTCACCCAGGAATCTCGTGCAAGTCTTCACAACAACGTCTTGCCCTGCTCGGGCTCCTTCCTTCTGTCTCAGCATTCCATGCCCGGGGCCCTCAGCTTTTCCTGTGTTCCATGACTCTCCTTTATATTGAGGTCTGATTCCTGATGCCTCTTCCCAAGACCCACCCTTCCCAGAAAAAGCTTGGAAATTTCTATGGGATCTAAGTTCTAGAAAAGTAATTTTTTTCCTGGAGGATCCCCAGAGGGTCACACTAGACCAGTGACTTATGTTTGGGACTTGATGTTTCTGTAGAGCCACCAATGACTTCCTAATGCCACTGCAAAAGAAAATCTAGGATCAAATTCAGGGTCCAATGCAGAAAGAATGTGGGTATTAAGAGGGAAGGGGCCTGGATGTGCAGTCACCAAATCACCCTGGAAAAAAACATACATCTGGATATGCTGAGGAGATGATGCTGTTGGCCTAGGAAAGAAGGACAGGAGCTCTAGAAGTTAACACACCAGAAAGAACATTTGAAAACGTCCTCAGAATATCTAGGAACCCCTGACCTCCCTCCTAGCTGCCTTGTTCCTGCTCTGACATTTCTCTGCCTACTTTGATTTTTGTTTTCAAGTTATAGATTCATACTTGGCACAGCAATGAGCAGACTCGGTGGCCTGTCACATTTTTCCACCTGAAGCTCACCCCTAATGGAAACTGATTAATGTATAAATTGTTGGAGCAGAACAGGTGACACCTTGTGACTTGGCTGTCCTTCATCGTCAACAGGAGCCCCAAGCATTTCTATCTAGCCTTCCTGGTGACTCTGCACCTGTGATTCACAGTGCCTGCTTGCTTACCTTGACTTGCTGGCAGAGGCTGAGGCTGCAGATGGTTAGTACTCAGCTCCCCATGGAGGCACCTCACAGATCTCATCTCCAAGATGCAGAAGGAGGAAGGGAAGACACCAGCACCTCCATCATCACATCTGATGGAAACAGTCACCAGGTGTTGGCTCAGGCAGTGCCCTTGCTGGGGGACTTCTGCTGCAGGACCATGCCCAAGCTGTTACCACCTTTGGATTTCATCTGGCAAATATTCTAAGCTCAAATGACTTTGGAATAAACTCTTGCCCAAGGTTGGGTCAGTAGCTCTGACTGGATGCTCCCAGATGAGATAATTGAGAGAGAGAGAGGAGGAATTTTCAAGTCACAGACCTCCAGGAAAATAATTTGAGACTAAATAATTGAACTTAAATACAAGGCAAAACACATCTCTTCTGACTGCAAGTATTAGAAAAATTGAATTAAAAAAAAAACAGTCCATCAAGCCCTCATTGGAAAGTGTTTGGCTTTCCTCTTGATTTTTGCAGGAACTATAAATTGTCTGAAACACATTTCAAAGACTTTACCCAATAGCACAAGCCAAAGTGCTAACATATCACAGTCTTGATGTGCCCGGCCGGCCCTCACTGACACATTCATTCTCATGACATGAATAATATGTTATCTCTAGTGCAAATATGATGAAAAGCTTCTCCTCTTAAGAGTCTAAAAATAAGACCGTGAGAGGCTCTTATGAATTGACTCAGTTGCTTTTTGGTTCTTAAAATACATGAAAAGGAGAGTATGCAAGGTGAAGAGAATATCCCTGTAATCTTCCTATTCTAACCTAATTATTTTATTTCATTCTCTGCAGCCTACCAAATCGCAGGTATCAGATATAAGAGCTAGCACATACCTGGTAGTTACAATGTGCAGGTAACTGTTCTAACTCATTTAATTTCCGAAACTATCTTAGGATAGGCATTATGATCATCATCCCTATTTTAAAAATGATGAAACAAGAGCACAGACAGGTTAAGTGGCTTGTCCAAGATCACACAGTATGTTTCATAAAAGGCTTAACCTGGATTCACACCCAGACATTTTAGGTTTAGTGTCTGTGCTCTTATCCATTATACTGGGAAGTCTCTTTTAAAAGGTCACATAGGTGAAAAAGTTAAGCTTTTTCAACATAGTTGGAAAATATTTTTGTTTGTTTTGCTACTTTGGGGCATGTTCAGAGAGTTTTCAAGCAATATTAGAGAATCATTTGATTACTTGTGTTGGAAAGGACTTTAGAGACCATCTAATCCAACCTCTTCCTTTTTTTAAAAAAACAATGGAGACTGAGACTCAGGGTGATAAAGAGATTTCCTTGAGAACTAGGATTTGGGTCTTTTCTTCCCAGTCATTATGATGACAGTACCAGGAAACAGGTGTCTGGATTTAGGTACTGAATACCATTAATTAACCTTGGGTTAATCCTAAGCAACTCTCGTAGTTCTAAAATGAAAGGCTTAAAATATATGTGTTCTAGGGTTTCTTTAGGAACTCTAAATTGAATGACTTGTCCAGGGTTAAAGTTTTATAAACAAAGGGAAAAGGGGGGTGAGGAGTGGGTAAATCAAGCCTAACTTCTAAGAGGAATCTGGAGGAGGGGGGCTGCATGATCCCTTAAGTGGCAGCGCAGTTCTTCATACTTCTTCATACTTCAGAGACTGGTCTGAGACTGTGGTAGGAAGCCAAGTAGATAATTTCTGTTGAGGCTTCAAGAATGTAGAGAAACCACAAGGTGCTTGGGTGTTTGAGACTGAAACAATGTAACAGCTTGTTGATTATAGTCATGGAGGCTGTAAATCCAGGGAGAGGAAATCCTGGGGCAAAATACATCTAAAAACCAAAATCAGTCAAAGGGAGAAATAAAGTTTAAAACCCGTTTATTGCTTACAAACTGCAGTCCAGGGCCGTCTCTCTACTCTGCCCCTGAAGAAGCAAGCCAGCCCCTCTAAACTCTCAGGTTCAGACACACCCTCGGTTGCCCAGGTAATTACCCATTGACATGGAGATGAAGTTCTCTCCACCCCTGAGGATATGCAAATGCACTAAAGCCAGGAGAGATTCTCTAGAAATGTTACAATTTTACCCACAGAGGCCCATTAGTTTGTAATAGGGTATCCGGGTGACCTTTACAGAGAGGTTAAAATATAACTAGCATCCTGAATACACCTATAGTGATCGAATAGCTCCCACTGCAATGGTTCCTGGATGCTGACTCCCCCGTAACCTCGTTGTGAATATGTAAAAGGCATGCCTCCGCTGCACTCGGGGCTCAGCCGTTGGATAGGAATCTGCTGAGCCCCGGCCGGCACTAGTAAGTGCTGCTTCTCGCCAAACATCTCAGTGTCTCAACTCCTTGTTGGTAGTTCCCACAGCTCCTGCAACAAGATCAAGGAGGGAATAAGTCAGAACATCAAAACCTTCATCTAATCTTTCCGTGCGAGTTGAAGCAGGACCTGGAGGAGATGGCCCACTGCAGGGTGGAGCTCAGAAATGAGTCCCAAATCATGCAAGGGGAGGTCTGGAGCCCAAGTGGAACTGAAATACTGAGTCACCGTGCACCATCTAGTACAGGAGGATTGGATTTTGCTGGGGAGCCTAAGGGTTGAGGGCCTGTAGAACTACAGAAGCAAGCTGTGGAGAAGCAGCAAGATGGCCAAGCATCACTGTGGGTAAAACTGTGCAGTATTTCCAGAATCTCTCGCCTGGCCTTGGTGTATCTGCATATCAATAAGTAATTACATGGGCGAGTGAGGGCTTATCTGGACCAGAGAGGTTGGGTGGAGCTCTCTCTTCTTCTGAGGCCGGGTCGAGAGAGATACGGGATGACTGCTTATACGAAATAAACGGGTTTCTCCCACTTTATTTCTCCCTTTGACTGATTTCAGTTTCAAAGGTATTTTGCCCAGCTATTTTTCCCCCCCCAAAGTTATAATCACATAAGGATGACTAAAGAAATTTTAATAGACCATTGCCTGTTCTTTTGTAACCATAAAAATTAAATACCCTCCTCCAAGATATATTTCTCCTGCCCCCACCCTCAAGAAAAGACTTGGCAGAGTCTGTTGCACTAATGGCTTACTTAAGAATAGAAGGCAGGGAGGTCGAGTTCCACATCTGGTTTGGAGGGGAGCAGAGAGAATAGCAGGAGGGTGGCAGATGAGATTAGATGAGATTAGAACCTGAGTTTACTAGGAGCAGAAGGCCTTGCCTGAGTGACCTTGAGAACATGGGATCCTAGACATAATCAACACTCTTGAAGAGGACATTGGACCTCCCTCTTAATATTGGCTTGACCCCACTATAGTATTACCTAAACTCTGCAAGCCCAGAGGGAATCTTGGGTGACATCCAGTGTGGGTAAAATTGTAATATTTCAGAATCTCTCACCTGGCTTTAGTGCATCTGCATATCAATAGGTGTTTCAAGGGGTGGAGATAGGTGGTCCATCTACATATCTGTAGGTGATTACAAGTGTGTGTGAGGGTTCATCTGGACCAGAGAGGTTAGGTGGAGCTCTCTTCTGCCGCAGCCTGGTCAAGAAAGAGATGGGATGACTGCTTGTAAGAAAAAAACGGGTTTCTTAACTTTATTTCTCCCTTTGACTGATTTCGGCTTTAGAGGTAAAATTTTCCCCCGGAGTTACATCAGATTACAGTTAGAACAGTTACATAGAAGCATGAGGACTCCCCAGTCTAGAACCATGTGGAAAAATAATGATTTCTCACCCTCAGCATTACTGACCTTTGAGCTGGGTCACACCTTGTGGGCAGCCATCCTGTGCACTGTAGGAGTAAGTACTCCTGGCATCCATCTACTGGATGCCCATAGCCTTCCCCACCCAAGTAATAACAAACAAAAATGTCTCCAGATATTCCAAATCTCGAGGGACAAAACTACCTCCAGGTGAGAACCACTGGAGAAGACTGAGGCAGTTAGAAAGCCCTCTAAGCTCAAGAGGAGAAGCTCTGAAACTCAAAAAAAAAAACAAATAAATAAATAAATATAGATAGTTTTCTCTTAAAATCAATACAATGATTTAAATCAATAAAAATTAATCATTAAAATCAATAAAAATCAAAACCAATACCACATCTATCACTTTATGGCACTTTATTCATGTTAAGCAAGCTAAAAAAAATTTTGGAGGTGATTTGAGATTCAAAGCTTTATCACTAATTATTTTAACAAGTATTTTAACAAGTACCCTCCAGATTCCCATTGTTTTTTTCAAGTTTATTTTTTTAAAATACCCATCATTTCTCCTTCATAGAGCTGTCAGCTTTCTTCTCCAGTTAAATTTAGCAGAAGAGTTATTATTTCCCTTTTTTCCCCCTCTATGCTTGTCAAAGTTTAATCAGCTTGATTACCGGATAGAAAATGAATAGCTGTAAAATACTAGTTTCTAAAAACAGATCATTCAACACAATTGTGCACATCTGATAAAGGGTTCCAGTGGCAGGTTCCTTGTTCCAGAAAACTGCAGCCTTAAAGACAGTTCCACTGCATAATAGATTAACCCTCCTATTACCAGAAAAGTCTGTTACTAATGCCTCCCGCCCTGAGTGCATCATAATAGCTAATTAAGAAGTGCTGTATCACAGATTCTTAACTCTCATTGGTAAGGTGCTAGGAGGTTAGGAGATGTGTATCTGGGAATATCAAGTTAATAGAAGTGTTATAGTTTTCATTATGTACCCTCCCCCAAATTCATATGTTGAAGTCCTAACCCCCAGTAACCTAAACAAGTGACCTGACTTGGGAAAAGGTCATTGCAGATACAATTAGTTGAGATGAAGTCATATACTGGTGTAGGGTGGCCCCTAATCCAACATGACTCATGAACTTATAAAAAAAAAGGTAAGTTTGGCAGAATCCTGGACACAGGGATAACACCATGTGAAGAGGAAGGTAGAGATCAGGGTGATGTATCTATCTAGAAGCCAAAGAACACCAAAGATTGTCAGGAAACCACCAAAGAGGTGGCAAGAGGCTGGAAACAGTTTATCCTCCTCAAAAGGAACCAACCTTGCCAACACCAATCTCAGACTTCTAGCCTCCAGGACTGTGAGATAATTAATTTATGTGGTGCTTTCTTAAAGCAGCCCCAGCAAACACATTAAAGACGCCTCTAAATTACCCCTTTCCTACTGTGTCCAGGACATGTGGCAAAATAATCTTCTATCAGAATGACATGGCAATATTAATATCTCCCACTAGACTCAAGCAAATGGCATCAGCACAAATTGCCTCTAAAGAGTACAGTTCTACTACTCTTTCATCTACACAGTCAGTCACGTCAGAACCCAGAGGCCTTAGGAACTCTAACACTTCCCAGAGGACTTCCAGGTTTCAGCCAAGATTGTGTATGTAGCTAAGCTCCACACCATTGGCCTCACAGCTGTAAAACTGGCCTTCCTTTACTATTACCTGTGTTAGGGTTCCCCAGAGAAACAGACAGGAGGAGATACATCTGTATTTCTATGCCATATAGACATGTCTCCTTCATTGATATCTATATCTCTCCTCTACACATATCCATAAATACATCTATAGGCCCTTGGTCTGCAGGAAGAGTCACTCCTGCCCTTTGACCAGGAGATTCTTGTCCTTCCTTATAGATGTCTCTGAGCTACAAACCCGGGGAAGGCATGGCTTCTAATTTATACCAACCTGTTTCACTTACAACAGAAAAGTAGCAGGGTCCTTGCACACAGACAGGGCTTACATGGGGGCTAAGGATCATTATTTTAACAGATAACGAAAATGAAGCCAAATCAAATGAAAAAAAAGAACATATATATATATAGTTTAATTATAATTAATAATAATATATATATTATACATATATAAACTACATATATTTAGATATAGATATAGGGGCATATAGATATCCATTATAGATAGAACTTTATATGTTAAAGACAGATAGGTAAATAGAGATTTATTATAAGGAATTGGCCCATGCAATTCTGGGGGTTGAGAAATCTTACAGTCTGCTGTCTGTGAACAGAGACCCAGAAGAGCCTTGGTGTAATTCACTCCAACTCTGAAGGACTGAGAAGCAGGGGAGCCTGTGGTACAAATCCCAGTGGAAGGGCAGGAGAAGATGAGATGAAATGTTCCAATTCAAGCAGTGGGGAAGAAAAAAAGATGAATTCCTCCTTCCTCTGCCTTTTGTTCGGTGCAGGCCCTCATCAGATCATGCCCACCCTCATTAGGGAGGGCCATCTGCTTTACTGAGTCCCCTGATTCAATGTAAGCCACCCAGAAACATCCTCATAGACATACCCAGGTTTAAATTTATTCTGGGCACCTGACAACTCATCAAGTTGACACAGAATTAACCATCATACTATCAGAACATATTTTCTGTTTCTTTGTGTAGGCTTCAGAAGTTTGTATGAAACAGCCTTAACAAATGTAGTTTTCTTGTTATATCACGTATATAGCTGCAACTAAAGGCACAATCCTCTCAAATGCCTTATTTAAGTGGTTATAAGAAAAATTACTTCAGAAAATGCACAATTTTCTCCAAAGTGGCAACATCCCTTTCCCAAATCTTTAATTGTCGGAATTAATAGGTTTAACAAAGGCAATCCACACCTTTCAAGGACTATGTCCTGTAGAATATTTATAAACTGGCTATATTATGAAGCATTTTCCTGTAGTAATAATATTGTGAATGAAAGTCAGAATGTGAGGCAATTAAAAAAAACTATTAAATCCATAATGTCATTGAATTGCCACTCGCAAAAGAGTAGGCTGAGTTTGAGGTCCTGGGAATGAGAGCAAATGTACTTAAAAGGGGAAAACAATAAAAACTATATTTTATGACTCATTTTTTGTTTTTGTGCCAGAAGTACATGTTTTCATATTAACTGCAACAAAATGTTAGAATGGAGCTTTTCCTACCTCGGTATTGTCTTGGGATGCATTGAATAATGCTAGTGTATTTCCACACACACACACAAAAAAAATGACAATGAGAATTGAAGACCTGTTCCAAGACTCTTGAATGCCCTCACCAATTTCAAGAATAGAAAAGGTTCAATACAGGGGCAATTTAGAAGGAAGATTTCTTTGGCAAGAGCTGTTGCCTTGCTTTAGGTAGTATTTCCCAACCAAGAGCACAGGGTTACACCTGGTGACAGGGCTCCTATATATGCTCAGAGCGCTTTAAAATGTGTTTTCTTCAGTTGGTTGAGTCCAAGGACAGGTCCCTACTCACTTCAAAAAAGGCTAAATAAAAGTGTGAAATTCCAACTGCTAGCTAGGATGGCATAGGTCATATTGAACCAATTTCCTCTTGGATTAACTATAAAAGCCAAGTGTTTGTTTAAAGTAGCTGTTTGAGATCATGAGACATGAAGCAAGGCAGTCAAGACTTAAGGGGTCAAGATATAGAGAGAAAGGAAATGCACTAAAGTGATCGTAATATTCTCTGCCACATTTCTGCTCCAGGTGTTTGCCAATTTTATATTTGCACAGAAAATACGCTGAAGAGCCAGAGATAAACTGAGAGCTAAGAGTCTAAAAAGCTGCACAGAGCTTTGTTAGTCTCAAGGTGTTAGGAAGACAAAATTTGGAGTTAAAAGCTGCAAGATTCTGGAAAGGCCACATCCTAGGGGTAAAAGCAACTAGAATAAGGCCATCCAAAGACTGATCGAATAAAGATGATATGTTTACAGTGTACCCACCTACTGGAAGAAAGGTAAATTATATCTGGGAAAAGGTAACATTATCCAAATCCTCCATAATTTTTTATATATAACATCTGACATTGAATCAAAAAATTCCAGGGGTGGAGCCAAGAATGCGGCATGAGTAGTTCAGTGGAAATCTCCTCCCAAAAACATATATATTTATGAAAATACAATAAATACAACTATTCCTAAAAGAGACACCAGTGGATGCAGTACAATAGTCAGGCTACATATATCTGTGAGAACTCAACATCACATGAAGGGGGGAAGATACAAGCCACAGCCAGGTGGGACCCGAACACCCCCCCCACCCCAGAAACCAATGGGAAGAAAGGAGTCAGAATGGGGAGGGAGTGAAAGCCCAGGACTGCTAAACAACCAGCTCTAGAAATCCGCACCCGGAGCACAGACACAAGGTGCATGGGGTGCTGGATATTAGAGAAACAGAAAAGCAAAACCTGCGGGCAGGTTCCTGCAACCAGCACCCCTGACAAAAAACAAAAGCGGGTGCTTTTTGCAAGTCTGAAAGAGACAGGGACTGCACAGCCTGATGAAGTCATCCTGGCACACTTAGCCAGCAGCTGGGAATTCCTGGGAACTTTAGGTGCCCTAACCCCCTGGGTGGCAGAACAGCTCTGAAGCCCCTCATACCACTAAGCAACCTGCCAGTCATTCCCCCAAGGCACGGACCCCGACACACCGGCACAGTAGTGGGAAAGTGGCAGCATGCGTCAGGGGTGGCGGTGTCAGGGGGAGAGGGAGCGGCCCACATGCACCAGCAGCGCCAGAGGGGACCAGGAGCAGCCCGTGCAAACCTGCTGCAGTGG